TATTACATGAACGGGCATGAACTGCAGTCCGTGACTCCTACAGCCATGTGGAGTGTTACGAACACATCGGTTACCGCTGCAAACGGATACACTATAATGAAGTGAGTATACATTATTCATACATACACTACACATGAACGGGCATGAGCTGCAGTCGGTGCAGCCTACAGCCGTGTGGAGCGTTACCAACACTTCAGTTACCACTGCAACTGGAAACACTATAATTAAGTGAGTGATTAAGCATTATAGATAAACTACACATAAGCGGGCACGACCTGCAGTCGGTACAGCCTACAGCCATGTGGAGCGTTACCAACACTTCGGTTACCAGCCAAAACGGATACACCATTACCAGGTAAGGATGATGAGATGTGGGGCCGTAGTAGCAGCCTTGAGAGGTGGGGGCGTATTACATGGTGATGTGAAATGATGTCTCAAAAATACACTCATTTCACGTGGCTATGAGATGTGGGGCCACACTAGTAGCAGCCTTGAGCGGTGGGGCCGTATTACATGAGCGGGCACGATCTGCAATCGGTGCAGCTGACGGCCATGTGGAGCATTACAAATACATCAGTTACCAGTCAAAACGGATACACCATTATAAGGTGAGGAAGATGCGATGTGGGACCATGCTAGCAGCCATGCGATGTGGGACCATGCTAGGAGCCATGCGATGTGGGACCATGCTAGCAGCCATGCGATGTGGGACCATGCTAGCAGCCATGCGATGTGGGACCATGCTAGCAGCCATGCGATGTGGGACCATGCTAGCAGCCATGCGATGTGGGACCATGCTAGCAGCCATGCGATGTGGGACCATGCTAGCAGCCATGCGATGTGGGACCATGCTAGCAGCCATGCGATGTGGGACCATGCTAGCAGCCATGCGATGTGGGACCGTACCACATGAGCGGGCTTGATCTGCTGTCCGTGAGCCGACGACCATGTGGAGCGAGCGTTACCAATACATCGGTTACCAGTCAAAATGGTTACACAATTATCCGGTAAGGTCAAAGGATGAGCAGATGAGATGCACACACGTGTCGAAAACTGTCTGTTAATACGAGAAAGTATTCGGATCTCCTCGAGGCAGTTCACCAACACCCATGTCGCAACTGCTGATGAGCACTTTGTCATGAGGTAGGTGTAAAATACAATGATCAACAGCCTTTCCTCATGTGTCAGCGCCTTCCCGCTTGTGCCATCCTGCCTCTCATTACCTTTTGAGTCTGTTTTCATACGTTATCGGTTTCAATGCCTCTCTCTCCCTTTTCCCCAGGTTCACGCGCAGCGTGGGCACGGGGCATGTGCCCATCAATGCATTTCTGTTCTTTCCCTCTCGTCCCTACCTTCCTGCTCTCTATTAACCGTCCCGCTCCCTCATGCCCTCCCCCCTGGTTTACGCGCAGCATGGGAACGGGGCATGTGCCCATCAATGTGTTTCTGTTCTGATTGTTCAAGCCATCCCCTCCCTATTCCCCCCTACCCCCCTTTCCCCTCTCCCGCAGGTTCACGCGCAGCATGGGAACGGGGCATGTGCCCATCAATGCGTTTGGCCCCACCACCATCATCTGGGCCTACTCGCCTGACGGCTCCACCACCCTCGCTGACCACCGCAGCAACTAGTGAGTCGCGTTACTGCGTGGCATTATTGGTGACCTGGCATCACGTGGCATGGGGTTGGCATGGGGTGGCATGGCATGGGGTGACATGGCATTCCCATGGGGTGACATGGCTTTGGCATGGGGTGGCATGGCTTAGCATGGCTTAGCATGGCATGGCGTGACGTTCCATGGCGTGACATTCCATGGCGTATGTTGCATTGCATGGCATAAAATTGAACCCGTCCATGGCATCACATGAACTGGCATGCATAGAGCCACTGCTCTTCCCTCCCATGACCCCCCCCCCCCCCTCCTGCTTCCCCACCCCAGCGGCTCAGCCTCAATCGATTTTGTCGAGGGCACGGTATCGGGCGGGCACAGCAGCAGCATATCAGCAGCAGCATATCAGCAGCAGCATATCAGCAGCAGCATATCAGCAGCAGCATATCAGCAGCAGCATATCAGCCTACATGATATCCAACCCCCTCCCTTCCCTTTCCTTCCCCCGCGTCTCCCTCTCTCCCCTACCCCAGCGGCTCAGCCTCAATCAACTTTGTCAAGGGCACGGGCACAGCAGCAGCACAGCGGGGCGTACATGATATGTAATTCCCCCCTTTGCCTCATATGTCCCCTCCCTCCCCTCCCAACCCCAGCGGCTCCGCCTCCATAGATTTCGTCAAGGGCACCGTGTCAGGCGGGCACGGCAGCAGCACAGCGGCGTACATCGCCCATGGGGCACTCCTCTCCATCGCCTTCGCTCTCCTCATGCCCCTCGCCATCCTCCTCGCTCGCCTCCTCCTTGCCGACCGCCCCGATGGTGCCCCTCTCAACCTCAATCATGCTTCATACATTCACGCCAACGCCAATGGGATCGCACCGTCACCCCAGCAGCAGCAGCCCGCAAAGAACCTGCGGCCGATGGGGTTCCAGTTGCATCGGGGCATTCAGGTGTTTGCGCTGGTGGTGGCGGTGGCGGGGATGATTGTGATTATCATGCAGGCGGGGTCCAAAGGGTTGAACTGGACGCATGGGCAGGTGGGACTAGCGGCGGTCATTCTCGCGCTGGTGCAGGCTATTGTGGGGTTTGTGCGACCGGATAAAACCGCTCCGAACCGCTTCATGTGGCTGGTGGCGCACTGCTTGATTGGCGCTACTACCATTGCGCTTGCATGGGCCGCCATGTTCCTGGGTATCGACCTTTATCACACCAAGTTCATGGAAAACGTCACGGTGAGTCTTTGGAACATGTATGTATCTCCACTGTAGTTTTTATCATTATCATTGTAGTAATCGTTGTTGTTGTTGTTGTCGCCATCATCTTCATCATTTTTCCAATGTTGTTTCGGCCGATGTTTCTATCGTAAATCATTATTGTTGTTATTTCTACTACGGTTCGTTCTTCAGCAAGAGAGCTGGTGAGAGGGACAGGGTCTGGATTGAGGGATGCGAAAGGAGAAACTCTGCAAGATGCTGAATTCAAGAATGCACTAATACCTCTCCAATCTTATTGCATCCTTCCTCCTGTCTATCCTGCAGTGGTGCTACTGGGTCTGTGGCGTGTGTGTGGGCGTGTTCGGCGTGGCATACCTGGTGTTGGTCATTCCGGACAGCATTCTTTCATTGAAGGGGCGCAAGGATCATGGAGATGACGGAAAGGGCACAGGCACACCTGCTGCTTTCTAAATGGAAGGGCTCCACGGCAAATGTGCTGTTTGTGTGCATAAGCCGTTTGACGCGCGTTGCGCCTAATAATGTAGGGGTGAATCCTTCATCTCGTTGATTTATTGCAGTGTTGTTTGTGTGATGTGTGAAGCACACTATTTACAATGACAACACACCATTTATCATGACGTGTGTTAGCTCGGTTGATGATGGCCATAATATTTAAACCATGGTAATGGAGTGTTCAGAGGCTAGCCTAGCAGCTTATAGTGTTGTTGGAACTTAAAGGCTGGTGGAGTGCTTCATCTTATAGAGCACGTGGAATGGAAAGAGAACCTAATGGTTTTGGTTGGTCACGACAGCTCAAGTGCATGAGTGCGTTTGCACCTTGCGTTGTTGCTTCTCGATAATTAATCAATAGAGCACGTGATTTTCCTACAAATATTTTAGCTTATCAATGTAAATATGATCATTTTAGCATATCAGCTGTCCATTTTGCACTATTCCAACCTTACCCAACCCATCCAGAATGTAACCGTTACTGGATGGCGTGATACCCGTCATGGTTTCACTGATTCAACACGAATTGAACAAAACGGCCACCGTGTCGCGCAATTCCCAAAGCTCCATGCACGCACCTCCCATCGCTTTGCTTAGAAACCCTACCCAACGTAGAGAAACGGACCAGAAACCGCTCCTAAATGCACATGATCGGACCTCGCCGTATGAAAGGAGCACACGTGACACACCCCATACATCATCTCATGAATTCAGCGCCTAGAAGATACTAAATTCAGCTGTCCCAGACACTTACACGATCATTGAAGATAGCAGCAGCTAAGAGACCTACTATCAGCCTGGACAAGCCATGACGTCCTATAATTATCGTGACGACTGTTATCTTTCTCGCTTGCACTGTGAAGCAGCAGTACGCTGTCCATTCTTCCGACGATAAACTTCACAATAGAACGCAACAGTACGACGTTCAGCGGCGTTGCTTACGCGACCAAAATTTCCATCATAGGACTTTGATTTACTCATTATTCACTGCAGAAGTCGAAGGACTACGAATTCTAACCAATTTGTTTGTTTTTAGCCGTATATCAACACACCAGATGACGCCGACACGGTTCAACAAACTGCAAGCCGTGCTCCTGTCTGCGTGCCTTGCGACTCTGGCGCCTTTCGCGGCTTTCGTCGCCGCACAGGGCGACAGCGGTGCGACGTGCGACTCGTCGTCTCTGCCGGAGTACAAACACTCTGTCAAATTGAAGGACGGAAGGTAATGATCTCGTGGCTTGTCGTCTATGCCTGAATCCGTCCTCCGTCAAACTGAATCATTCCGTCCGTTCATTTACCGTGAATGAGTCGTTCACCGTCACCTTCTAACCCTCAACTGGCAGTCGTGTCCACCCGCGGCGAGACCCCACGAACATAGGCTCCTCAAAACTCGAATAGAGACGTCACACAAAGTTGTTAGTTGTTTTCAAAAACTCGAATTTGCAACTTTTCGTCCATAGGCTCCTCAACCTCCCTTCCGTCCCTCCGTCCGTCTCGCCGCGTGTCAGTCTCATCCTTCACTGGAAGACCGTCAATTCCACAACCGTCAACTTCGCCGCGCAAGCACTCGCCGGGCAGGTTGCAGCCGGCTGGTTCGCCGTCGGATGGTCGGGTTCATCCGGCAGGATGGTGCCGGGGGATGCGGTGATCGGCAATTTGCCAGGCGGGACAATGGACGCGTATTATCTGGAAAACCCGATGCTGGATCAGGTGCTTCCAACCAAGAAATTCAGCATCGGGAGCGCTGCCGCGTTGAGTACGAACGCCGATAACTCGCTCATTATGAAGTGAGTGAGCTTTTCAACACATCTGAAGTGTTCTTTGTCTCTCTTTTTTTCTGGATTGGGCCATGCTATTGTAGGTCAGTGCTTGCAGCGAAACTTAGCTTCGATAAGAGTGGTTACATGATCGTCCCTAGCTGTCCCTTCTTGAATCTGAGCTCCTTTTTCCACTGCAGTCACAGTAGCCTAATTATTGAAGCACCGGTTCTTAATCAATTCATTCATCACACAATGTGTTCCTTCCTGTATTTACATCCATAATATCAGTAACCCCCTCCGGTATACTCAATTCTCACTAGTCCATGCACATGAGAATGTATCCTTCATTGCACTTCTCATTTGCAGGTTCTCGCGGTCAGTGAAGGATGGCAATGTGAAGGTGCTGCGCAAGGGAGTCAACTACATGATCTGGGCCTACTCGGGCAGCTCTCAGACCCTCGCCCAGCACCCTATGAGTAACATGTACGAGCCTTGCAGAACCCACCAGGATCTCCGAGAACCTCCCAGCATCTCCCAGAACCCTAGATTTATATATTACCCTACATTTATATTTATATAAACATATATATTATATTTCCGTGTTCTCCATGCTTGTGTACCCATCTATATATACCCTTGTGTACGCTTCTAAATGCCCGCATGCCTTTCCATACCCTTCTACACCCGTCTAATCGTCCTATACCCATCTACACCCTTCTCTTTGTGTTTTCTCCTCCTTACAGGGGATCCCAGGCGATAGACTACAGCTGCCCTTCTTCCACCGGCAGCGGTGGCGGCAGCACGGGAAGCACCGGCAACACTGGCAACACCGGCAACACCGGCAACACTGGAAACACCGGCAACACCGGCAACACCGGCAACACCGGCAACACCGGCAACACAGGCAGCACCGGCAACACAGGCAGCACCGGCAACACAGGCAGCACCGGCGGCACTGGCAGCACCGGCAATACGGGCAGCACTGGCAGCACGGGGAGCAGCAACAGCGGCAGCGGTAGCAGCAGCAGCAGTGGTTCGTCCTCCACCCAGTCACAGGGGCCAGCCTGCCACCCCTCCTCCCTCCCGGAATACACCTGTTCCACCCAGCTCAGGCAAAACGCGTGAGTGTGGAGTATCTGCAACTGGCCTGCTCTTCTCTGCTCTGCTCTGCTCTGCTCTGCTCTGCTCACGGCTGCGCTGTTTCAGGTGCAGCACAGCGAGCATGGCAGCGCAGGTGCCTGCATTCACTCTCGCCGTCGCTTCTCTCCTTCTCCTGAACCTCCCCTCACGCCCTTTTCTCATCCAGCCACGTCCTGCATGAGGATGAGAAAAGGTGAGACGTGAGATGAGAGCACAGTGAGACGTGACTCCTCTCCTTGTCCCTATCCTCTCCCGCCTCTGCCTTTCCTCCCCTACCCTCCTCTTCCCCCCAGCTACATCCCACACTGGGCGGTCAACAAGGAAAGCACAGTGAGCCTTCGCTCGCCTTGAAACTCTCTTGTCCTCATCGCTCTCCCTCTCTGCCTCCTCTCTCTCCCCCTCTCTGCCTCCTCTCTCTCCCCCTCTCTGCCTCCTCTCTCTTCCCCTCCTTGTCTGATGCAGCTACATTCTGCACTGGGCGGTCAACAAGGACAGCACAGTGAGCGTGGCAGCGCAAGTTGCCACCACGGGCTACATCGGCATTGGCTTCTCCAAAGACGGCCAGATGATCAACTCTGACGCAGCCATTGGGAACGTGCCACCTGGCACGCTGGCCAATGGGGCGTCGGTGGGGCCGTATTACATGAGCGGGCGTGACGTGGGGTCGGTGCAGCAAACCGACACGTGGAAGGTTACCGACACGTCGGTTACCACTGCAAATGGATACACTATAATCAAGTGAGTAAGCACAGTAAGGAGCGAGTGGGCGTATTCCATATGCGGGGCATGAGTCACAGTCGGTGCAGCCTACACCCATGGGGAGTGTTGCCAACACGTTGGTTACCAGCCAAAACGGTTACACCATTGAGATGGGCAGACTAAGTTATTTCTGGATGTTGTGACACTTTCTGAATGTTGTGACACGCGTGACATCACCAATGCGACCGTTTCTCTCGCTCTTCTACTCCCTCCCCCCAGGTTCACGCGCAGCATGGGCACGGGGCATGTGCCCATCAACCCACATGGTCCCACCACCATCATCTGGGCCTACTCGCCTTATGGCTCCACCACCCTCGCTTTCCACTCCAGCAACTAGTGAGTCGCTAGCGATTGCACTGCATGGCATGGCATGGCATGTCCTAGTCGCCTGATAACTTCCCCACCACCATCATCTGGGCCCACCCTCGCCTTCCACGCCAGCAACTGCATGGCATGGCCTTTTTGCACTATGGTGTGCCATGGTATGTCATGGTATGTCATGGTATGTCATGGTATGTCATGGCATGTCATGGCATGTCATGGTATGTCATGGTATGTCATGGTGTGCCATGGTGTGCCATGGTGTGCCATGGTGTTCCATGGTGTGGCATGGCGTGGCCTGGCGTGGCATTTCATTGCAGTGCATGGCATGGCCTATGTGTCCCATGGTGTGGGAGTGGCATGCATGCAGCCACCACCACCACCATCATCTGGGCCTACTCGCTTGATGGCTCCACCTCCCTCGCTTTCCACGCCAGCAACTTGTGAGCGTCACAGTGGCATGGCTTAGCATGGCAAGTCAAGCATTCTCCACTCTTCCCCCCCAGGCCCATTCCCCTCCTTCCCCCCCGTTTACCCCCACCACTCCACCCCCCCAAACTCCTGCCAACTCCTCCTTCCTCCTTGCCACGCTCACCCGTGCCCATCGGTCTGATTTACCTGTCAACGCACTTATCCCCCCTGCCTCTCCCAACCCCTGTCCCGAATATCCTCCCTTCTTAACACCCCAGCGGGTCAGCCTCAATCGCTTTCATCAAGGGCACAACCACAGCAGGCGAGGGCAGCAGCACAGCGGCCTACATGATTCGTAACCCCCTCCCCTCCCCTCCCCTCCCCTCCCCTCCGCTGTATGCCCCATGCTAATCCCGCCAGCGGATCAGCCTCGATCGATTTCATCAAGGGCACGACCACAGCAGGCGAGGGCAGCAGCACAGCGGCGTACATCGCCCACGGGGCTCTCCTCTCAATCGCCTTCGCCCTCCTCATGCCCCTCGCCATCCTCCTCGCCCGCCTCCTCCTTGCCAACCGCCCCAACAGCACTCTCCTCAAGCTCCACCCCTGCTACAGGCCACTGGGGTTTCAGCTGCATAGGGGCATTCAGCTGTTTGCGCTCGTGGTCGCACTGTCAGGGACGGTGGTGATCTTTGTTGTATCAGGGTCCAAGGGGCTGAGCTGGACGCATGGGAAGGTGGGGTTGGCGGCGGTGATTCTTGCGCTGGCGCAGGCTGTTGTGGGGTTTGTGCGACCGGATAAAACCGCTCCGAACCGCTTCAAGTGGCTTGTGGTGCATATCCTGGTTGGCGCTACAACCATTGGGCTCGCGTGGGCGGCCATGTTCCTGGGCATCGATCTCTACCACACCAAGTTCATGCAAAATGTTACGGTGAGTCTTTGGGACGCGTTACGTGCTGCTTTTATTGTTATAATTATTTTCAAGAGCTGGTGAGAGAGGAAGGGCCCGAATGGGTGAGGTGGGAGAGGAGGTTGGGAAGGAAAGGGCTGAGTTTTCGTGCACTGATTCTTCTTTCTCCCCTACCTTTGCCCCTGCAGTGGTGCTACTGGGTCTGCGGCGTGTGTGTGGGCATTTTCGGCGTGGCATACCTGATTCTGGTCATTCCGAACAGCATTCTTTCTTTGAAGACGCCTAAGGGTCGAAGTGATGCCGGAAAGGGCACTCCTGCTGCTATCTGAATGAACGGGATTAGCAGCTACGTTTGGAAGCCAAGCCACCCGCAAAGTATAATAAAATAGAGAGCGCTGAAATCCTCGTCTCTAATAAATTGCATTGGCCGAGGATGGCATGCAAAACAACTGTATTGTTGGTAGTGCCAGAGACGAGTTGCGATTTTGTGTTGTCTTTGGTAATAGTGGAATAAGGTATATCGGGCAAACGAATCAGCCTGCACTTGGGTCTCTTGCATCTCTCCCCATGTGCACCTGCTGATCACCATTTTGCAACCTGGCATGGCAAGAGCTGCAATTTAATAGTATTCACCTATTGTCGTTCGGCCATAGCACCTACACTACAGTGTTCCTCGGCATGACTATCAAAACTCTTGTTCGCGATACAGTCTAACAGCAGCAGGGATCAGCTGTGCGAGTGTGACTGGCTGGCGGCATTCCCAAGGCTCATCCACTTCCCACGGACTGCCTGAAAGAGCATCAAAATCAGAATTCACCTCCAGTTTTGGATTAGTTTCCCCTGTGACTGATAGACTTCGTTGGTCACCGAAACGTCCGCCATGGCTCTGGCTGCCGCACCTTCCGCTGCGTGGCGGCTCGCCGTCTCCAGCGCGCTGACCTCGGGAGTCACCGCCGGGTCGGGCGCCGAGAGCTCACGTTGCTGCGCCAATGTACGTGGATCCTCGTTTTGACGCGCCTAAGATATTGTCGTTTTGTCGCGCCTTAACAATCCTCGATGCTTCCTTGAGGTTTGGATTGAGTGCGACAAAATGCGTTGCTGTGGCCATGCATATCTGTGGTGGGTCTGCACAAGATTATCGTTATTTTTTTCTTTCTTTCTTTCCTTCTTTCTTTCTTTCTTTCTTTCTTTCTTTTCTATTCCAAAAGAGTGCTCACCCCAGTATGTGGATCCTCAGAACAATGCCGGTTAATTAGCGCTGTTTGTGTTCTAGGGTTTCGCAAGAGTTGCGTTAACGATCCTTACCTTAAAACTCTATTATCCGGGCCTTTCCTCCGTACCTGGAGTTCCAGGATGCTTCATTCGCTGCTCCGAGGAGTCTCTCCGCCACGCCCCGCGTGTCCCGCCTAGTTGCGCGCGCCAAGTTTCAGGGCTTCAACCAGTCGGTGGGGGAGGCGCAGGAGGCGGACGGCGCAGCCGTTGCGCCCGCGAGCGCGGAGGAGAACGGCGCAGCCGTTGCGGCCGCCGCGGAAGGAGCGGCAGAGGAGCGGAACGCGGGAGGACGCGACGACGAGTGAGTCACTTCTCCCGAACCTGGCCGCGTTCCTTTGGATATTCACACACTCATGCTTTCATGCATTCATAATACATTGGACTTCATAATGCAATCGCATCTGGTTGTTATCTTCTTATCTCATTCTGGGTCGAGTCCCACCTCGCTTTCCCCGTCCTCGCTTTTTCCCTCCTCTGCCTCCTCGTCTGCCTCGCAGCGTGCTCCCAACGGACCTGGACGGCGCTGTGCGCCAAGCAGGGGAATCTGCGGCTTACTTCTGCAACGGAGGCGGCACCCGCGCCATTGTGAGTGCGGCTGGCGCTGAACACTGCGCTGTAGCAACAGCGGCGCCACTGTGATGTGAGCTCAAACAGTACCAACAGAAGCTTATAATCCAGCTGAATATTTAGAATTCCAAACAATAGTTTCGGACTACTAGAACTGACTGTCTCACCCATGAGACGAGTCAGAGCCGCGGGAATGGCCGAGCGACCCCCACTGAGTCTCGTTGGGGAGAGCGCAAGATTTGGGGAGGAAGGAGGCTTCCTCTCCATCCCGCGGACATAGAGGCCCTCTTTCCCCCTCTCCCTCCTCTCTCTCCTCGGACAGACAGGATGGTGGGGAGGAGGGGGGTCGGGGGAGGTATAACCAGCCCTGTGTGCGCTCAAGACATGCCGCACAGGTTGAAGCCTCCCCCACATGCGCCCTTGCACTAGCAAGCTGGCACACAGACCGAAGTTGCTGCTTTTGCACAAAACGGCCTACACATCCCTCATGAGACCTCTGCTCTCTACCAATTGGGGCTGTTGGTACCAGATCTTGAGACACAGTTGGAGTGGTGCAGTGCGGTTCTCTGTTCCTAATCCCCCTCCCACTCCTCGACTCCTCCCATTCCTCCCATTTCTCTCACTCCTCCCCCGCTTCCCCGTGGCCAGGTGGAGCTGCTGGTGCCGGATCTGGAGATCAAGTTAGTGTGATGTAACGCGACAGTCCCATCGTTCCTTCCCATGCGTCCCATCTCCCACTCCTCCCGATCATCCCATGGCCCACACACCTGTGTTCTGCTGCCAGGTGGAGCTGCTGGTGCCGGATCTGGAGATCAAGTCGGATGAGGGCGCTCAGCAGCTGCTGTGGGACACCAGCCGCACCTTCCTCGAATCTCTAAAGGGTCACCTCGATTTCGAGGTGAGACGTGGTGCAGTGTTGTGCGGTGCGGTGAAGCCAGGTGAATCCACGTGAGCTGCAGCAGCTGCTGTGGGACACCAGCCGCACCTTCCTCGAATCTCTAAAGGGCCACCTCGACTTCGAGGTGAGGCTTGGTGCAGTGCGGTGCAATGTGATGCAGCACGGCATAGTGCGGTGCAGCCAGGGTAGCTGCAGTGAAGGCCAGCTTAACATCATGGTGCAGTGCGATGCAGTCCGGTCAGCTGCAGGCCTAGTCTATGAGCCTGTCCTCTCTCTTCGAACTCTCTCCCCTCTCTCCCATCCCTCTCACTCTTCCCTCTCTCTCCTCTTCCCCATCCCTCCCTTCCCCCCACCCCCCTTTCAGAACGTGAGTTCCATTTTCCCTTCTCCAGAGTACCAGCATTTCAGCATTGGGCGCAGTGCGGTGAAGTCAGGTCAACTGCGGTGGAACCGGAACGTGCCTCGTCTATGAGCCTCTTCTCCTTCTCCGAACTCTCTCCCTCTCCTCCCCCCTCCCCATCCCCACCACGCACACCTCCCTCCCACCAGAACGTGAGGGCCATATTCCCGGATGCAGGCTCGGCAGCACTCCTCAAGAACCAGTGGCCCGACGCGCCGTTTGCCTTCTCCAGCCTGATGGACCGCAAGCCAGTGCAGGAGCAGGACGATGTGGTCGTGCTCATCACCCCCGAGTACCAGCAGCTCAGCGTGGTCGAGTCCATAGGCGGCATGCTGGCCACAGAGGACGGCTTGACCCGCCCGCTGATCATGTATAACCCGCGGCTGGTCAGCGGGGATGTGGGCGTGGGGCTCAATGTGCGGCGGCTGAGGGAGCGGTTTCTGTCGACGTTTACGACCGCCTTCTGCCTGCGCCCGCTGCCGGTGGGAGCAATCTACCGGCGGTACCCCAAGTGAGTAGAGTGTGGGCTGTGTTGAGTGCACTTTGAAAGTTCCTTTCGTGTTCCACTCTTCGTGTGTGTTCTCTCTTGTTTTTTTCCTTCGTTTTTTCTTTCTGCCGTCTAGGAGCTCTGGTATGCATAGTAGCAGCCTTCTGTTCATCCCTTCTATGTTGCAACCCATGATCAAGCTGTGGAGATATTGAATGTTTATTGATCCTCTGATCGCTCTCCTGGCAGCCCCTGGCAGTTGTACCTTGATGACCCTAATGAGCCTGGCCGATACATTCTGTTGCGGCAACAAGGGTCAAAACCAAACATCGACGATATTGAGGTGAGTTTTGTCATGTTATGACTAGGTTAGTAGGTAGTGCCTCTCACACCTATACTCATGCACATAATTGTTTTTGCTTTTCATGTGGGCAGGATATGTATATGGCAGCATCAGGAGGGGGTGAGCCTGGAGCAGAAGAGCCGTTGTTCATTGAGCAGGCTTTTGGAGTTATTTCATCCTTCAACCGGTTCATGCAATCTCTTTCCAAGTGAAGGATGGATCTGTATATACTTAAACCACTAGTTCACCTGCTAGATCAAGCTAAATCAAGCAGTTGACCTGCCTGGATGAATGATTGGAAATTGAATTTCTGTAACACCCATGCTTTACATAACGGGTGCACCTGATTCTCTATTTATACACTGACATGGAATAGCCGAATCGGCTCACGTTGCATCAAAACAACGTGGACTGGGCTGACTCTTTGCTGGTTACGATACGCTCACCAGCGACTTTCCTGACATCTGGGAGCATGCACCACTGGATGTCCGTGAACTGCTGCCACGCGTTCAGGAATGGTTCGGAATGTCAAGGATGGGAGGCCAATCACAACCAAGGATGCAAAAATCAGGTCCGCCAATCAGGCCTCCTCTATGTCAGACCCTCAAATCCCCAGCAGGTTCGTGTGTCTTGCTCGCCCACACGCGACTCTTGAATGAAGTGAGGGGTGGTGGACGGTGGTTAAGAAATAAATAAGGACTGGGTTCGGTTTAATATGGTGGTGGATAATGAATTTCAAGTTTCTCTGACAATCTGTAATCAACGGCTAGTTGAGGTGAGGCCACTAGCCCATCAGGTTAGTCCATTAGGTTAGGAGCCTTCCTGACCATCAGCAGTGTCATTGGCGCGTCGAAATTCTCTCTCGAACTTGATTAGCCAAGGTGGTAGGCGGTACTTCTGGGCTTAGTCACCCTTCACCTATACAAGAGTACTGGCCTAGTGTGAACTATAAGTGACTTCTTCGCAACTACTCGTTGACTCTAGCGTTGATAGTTTCTGTCCGAATACTCGACTACAGATTCCTCACTTATTGCGTTACGCATCCAAAATACCACATATATATAACACTACGCTCCAGCAAGTCATGAGTGCGACGACAGCTGGTTTGGTCGCGGCCGTATGGATTCCATCCACATGCATCCACGCACAGACGCTACCAGAGGCAAACTACCGGCAAAACAATCGCTTGAGATCATCAGCACAGTCACGACGGTATCCAGCACGGTCACCGCAATCGACCGCTGCATTACGTACCGGTACCGTCAGGAGATCCGCTCGCCGACAGTCGGATCTGGGCTCGGCGGTCGGTCGATTTGATCTCGGGAACCGGGGACGTGGACGAGATTCGCGAAACAGGATCACATCGCGAAGGCTCGTGCAGGTATCACCGTGCTTTACGACTACCCGCATTATGATGAGAGGACCTGTGGGGCTGTGGTTGGTATTGTCGAGTCGTTGTAATTCACTTGCCGTAGGCGGAAATGCAGATGACTCGGCTGCTTGTTGACGGATGTTTTTGAGAATTCTCGACAACAACCGGCTGCTTGTCAACGCTGATCTACCTCGCTGGACAATCCACGAATACAGAGAGGCTCATCATTCCCACTCCACTGATCCAATTACGCTCCATGTCGACCCATCCTCCTATCCTCCTCTGCTCCGATGCTCCTATGCTCCTCCTCTCCCCAGATCAACGCCAGCCAGACCTCTGGCGGCGACGGCGATGGCGGCAGCAGCAGCGGCGGCGGCGGGAAGGGCGACGACGACGCAATGTCGCTGGCGGCGGAGGCCGGCGGGATGGACTGGCGGACGTTCCGCGCGAAGCTGGTGGCGGGCCACGAGGCCACGCGGAGCGTCTCCGCGCCCTCCCCCGCGCAGGAGGCGGTGGGGCTCGAGATTTGGCAGGTGCGGAATTCAGGTGCTGGTGTGGTTCTTTTCAGGGGCTTAAGCAAGTGGTTCGAGATTTGGCAGGTGCGGTGCTGTAGATGGTGCCGTAGGTGGATTTGATTGTTCTAGACGCGTAACGAACTGGCTTGTGGTGTGGTCCCTGCGTTGGTGCAGGTGGGTCTGAAACCCAGACGGAAAACCGAGGATCGGTGCGAGGCTTGGTGCAAACAGTAACTTGAGGAGGAAAACTGGGGCCTCTTTGTCTGCTTTCTGGTTCCTCTACTCACACATTTCAACAATCGTTTCTTCTGACCCCTCTTTCCCCCTCACTGCACCATCACCATCCCCAGGACCGCATGAGCCTCGAGAACTGGGCGCTGCTGGCCTCGCAGAACCCGCGCCTGGCCAAGGAGGTCCCCTGGGTGCACTCCACAGGGGGCGCGGAGGCGGGGGGCGTGCTGCTCGCCGCGCCCTTCTCCCAGCTCCCCGGGCAAGGGGGGGCGGAGGGCGGAGATGGAGGGCGCGGAGGGGGGGCGGGCGCGCTGGACAGGAGGTTGTGGCAGGCGGCGGTGTTTCTGGTGGAGCATGGGGGGGCAAGCGGGGCGTCCTGGGGCCTGCTACTAAACCGACCGTCGGGTTATACGATTCAGATGGTGAGTGAGCTCGTTGGAAATGTGAGAGGGCTGGACAGGCGGTTGTGGCAGGCGGCGGTGTTTCTGGTGGAGCATGGGGGGGTGGGCTGGGAGTCGTGGGGGCTGCTATTGAATCGACCGTCAGGATACACGATTCAGATGGTGAGCGCATTCGGAGTGAGAGCGAGGAGAGCATTTGGAATGTGTGAGGGTTCAGATGGTGAACGCAATGTGAGGGGTTTCAGAAGGTGAACGCATTTGGTGGATGAGAGCATTCAAATGTTGAGAGCATTTTGAACGTTTTCCTACCTTATTGCCCCTTTGAAAGCCCCCATTTCCTCCCCCTCCCGTGCTGGAACTGTTTTCCCAACTTACCATGCCTAACCCCCCCTTCTCTCCTTAACCCCCTCCAAACCCCCACCCATTCCTCCTCCTCACACACCTTTCCCCCCTCTTCCCACCCCACTACGCGCTAGCAAAGGTGAACAGGGTGGAGGATGCAGCGCTGGTGGCGTTTTCCCATCTTCTGGTGTGCCCCCTTTCCCTCCCCCTTTCCCCCTCCCCTTTCCCCCTCCCCCCCTCCGCCTTTCTCCTTAACCAGGCGCTAGCGAAGGTGAACAGGGTGGAGGAGGCATCGCTGGCGGTGTTTGCACGCAACGCCATCTACATTGGCGGGTTCAAGTCGGACGGCAGCACTCTCTACTTCCTGCACGGCCATGACCTGCCGGGGGCTAAGGAGGTGAGAGCGTGTGAACTGTGTGCATGCGTTCCCTCCGCATCCCTTCTTCCATGCAACACTCTGTGCTTCCTGCAAAGCCAGCCAGACCTTCCATGTGTGCATGCCTTAGAAGCTCCGTTCTCAACCCCCCTGCTTCTGAGCGGCATGCTTCTCTTTCTGCACGGTCACAGCCTCTTGCTGGCTAGTGAGGTGCATGCGTGCAAGTGTGTGTGCCGTGCTACACGTCACTTTATTCTTTGTTCCCGTTGCCCCTTCAGGTCGTGTCAAGGGTGTACAAGGGAGGGCTGGAGTTAGAAGCAGAGCAGGTGCTTCTAGAGGGTCCCTCTCTCCTCTCCCCCTCAGCATGCCTCACTTCCTTCTCTTCCTCGTGCCCTTTACCCCGTCAGCTCATGCCCGGGGTGTATATGGGAGGGCTGGAGGCAGCAGCGGAGCAGGTGCTGCTGGGCAACATGCCTCCGTCTGACTTCAGATTCTTTGTCGGGTATGTCCAGGCCTTTGAGGTGCCTCTAGACAATATGCCTCCCACTTACTTCTAGTCAGAGGTTTATTCTAGGCAACATGCCTCCGTCTGACTTCGGATTCTTTATCGGGTATGTCCTGGCCTTCCTGGTTATCAAACCAGTGAAGTTACTGCAGAATCTTCCGCCTGGTATCATTGACTGTTCCTCTGGACTTCCTTATTCCCGTGTTCCCTGTTTCTCACTGCTTCATGGAGGTAATTCCAGGCAAGTGGAGTGGCCAGCAGGCAAGCTTCAGGAGGAGGTGGATGCGGGTCTCTGGTACACTGCAGCGTGTGCCAGAAGCCTCGTGCTCAAACAGTGCTTGCAGCTCCCCAAACCACTCTGGTAAGCTCGTCCGTACCTACCTATCCCCGATTCGCTGTGTTTCTGTGCTGGCATAGGAGATGTTGAAGAATGACTTGGCCGTATGGTGCTTTGATGATGCAGGCGGGAAATGCTGGAGCTGATGGGAGGAGAATATGCTGAGACAGCGAGGAAAGAATACGGGCAGAGCATTTGAGACGCAATATTGGTCAGTGCTTAGGTCCCTGCTGGTCTTTTCAAGGGCCATACTAGGATGTGCATCTCTTCTCCTAAGTAGCATAGGTCCATAGACAGGTTGCTTAACGTCACACGTGTTTGGCTAGCCCTAATCAAAAGCATTTGTGCTGTTTAGTTGGTCATAGAGCGAGGTTCTCACAGTGTATGCTCTCACTACCTAAATATACAACCGAACTGTGTGTATCGCGTGGGACCAGTTTGTGTGGCTTGTGTGCGCGGTTTCCAGCCTTTCAGGCTGGTGCTGAGTGCGTTTCAGATCGGTGTTGTACTTTGCTGTGGAGTATCCATGGTTCATAAACGATCAGGTCTCGAAATTGGTCATTCTCCCAAACTGTGGAGTTCGTTCGCACCGCCTGTACCCCGCCGGCTTTCCTTCCTACCCAACCTCACTCCGTACAAAGCCGCCCAAACCGCTGGCCCCAGATCGATGGTTTGGTTCGGTGCTTATCTGGTCTGGGCTCCATCAAGGAGGTGTGTGGGTAAAGAGGGGCGGGTTATAATATTTCCTATTGGTGAGAAATATCTTATGGTTCGGATAAACCGGTGTGGGCAGCTGCTGGTTGGTCCATCCCTCGGTGGGTTGGTGGTGGTCTATGCCATGCCCTTATCTTCTTCAGCCTCTCTGATCTGGTCACTGTGGTCAGTTCATGCTATGTCGTTTACCTGGGTGCACAACGGTCGAATGCGGTGAAAAATAGAAGTCAGTTTCAACCGCTTTGTAACGTATTGCACCGTGCTAAACGAACACTAAGCAAACAAAAACTACCTCTAGCCTTGCCCCATATGTTCGTTCCATCGTCATTTTTCTCTGAAACGAGAAATGTCACCTATTTGTTAGGTTTTGTAGTTGTGAAGTACTGTCATTGTTAGTTAGTCGTTCGATAATGCACGTCTCATCGTGGTCTCTTTGTAGTGCTGGATTGTTCTGACAAGCCATAGTGTCTGTCCCTGTCCTATTTATCATAGAACGTCTCAGCTTTACGATTTTTTTCCCCTCGGGATGTCGTCACAGCCTCACACGCGAGTGGCTAAGCCAAGCGGCGGCGTCGCTCTCGGGAGTCGCACACGCGAGGCCAAAGTCGGTCGCGGGCGTCGCATGCGACATCAAGACGCGGAGGATCCCGGATCTCCATCAATCTACGCCACTCGTTCAGCCGGAAACAGACCCTTGCTTTCCACCACTCAATGCTGCTCCATACTCGTTATCGTCATCTTCGCTTTCGTTTCAGGCGCAGTGATTGTCCTTCAGTTAACGGAGCATCGCAGCGTGTCTTCCGCTCTCGTGAAGCTCCAGCAAACTGGAACCGGCATTGGGAACCACGCGTTGATCGCGCTGAATCTTCGCCTGCCGGGGAAGAAAGTGGGGAGCTTAACGGCGGACACGCATCATCACGTGAAGCATTTGTTCGAACAGCGGTTCCTGTACTACGGAGACATGATCGACTCGACGACCACCGACTGCGGTAGCGTCAACGAACAGGTACTCGATTTGTGAGACGTCTCAAAAGTCGCATCATCACGTGAAGCATTTGTTCGAACAGCGGTTTCTGTACTACGGAGACATGATCGACTCCACAACTACCGACTGCGGTAGCGTCAACGAACAGGTACATGTTTTGTTTGTCTTCTTCTTTGATATTAAGAATTTGTTGCTTGAATTCTATTTTTGTAGTACGAGATATCCGGGGTGTTCCAGATTCATCGCATTCGGGCTACATATGCGTTGATGGGCCATCTTTGTTCTTATCCGCCTCCCTCGTCGCTTGTTTCTCCCTCGTCTCTCCTCTCGCTTCCGCATGCTGCGCTGCGCTTCGTCTCGCTTCCTCTCGTTTCTCTCCTCTCCTTTCCCTTACGCGATATTGTTGTTCGAGTGGTAAGGTAATCTCTCTCAAGAATGCAGTGCAGCAAATTCCGAGACTGATTGACTCGTTGTTCTCGCTTGCCCTCGTCCGCGTATGCAGCTTTCCAGCCTACGGTGTGCGATGGAGGAGGCGCTTCTGACCAATAGGTACGGTGCTGGCCAACAGGTATGGTGCTGGCCATCAGGTACGGTGCTGGCCAACAGGTACCAACAGGTACGGTGCTGGCCAACAGGTACGGTGCTGGCCAACAGGTACGGTGCTGGCCAACAGGTACGGTACTCCGTTAGACAGCAGCAGAAATTAGAGGATTGAATGCAGCGGAATGGGGTGAGTTTCTGAGATAAAATGCCTGAAAGCATAAAATTAGTTGGGTGAGCTAACCCACCCACCCAGCCTAGCATGCAGCTCCCTAAAACCATGCGATGTAGGTTGTTTGATACACCTCGACAGTACAGAGGATTGAACTCAATGGAGAGTGATGGAAGAAATTCCTGTACGGGTTTTCACTTCTGGTTGGAGAACGTAGCGCATTGTGGGGTAGAATAACTTGTAGCAACCAAGTAAGTCGAGATTGAAGCAACTAACTATGCGTTTGTAGGTTCTTACCATGCACTTGAGAGGTTTCCACCTCGTACATATCAAAAGTACAACGCCCTACAGTGTTCTTCCACTTGCTCTCACTCCATACCCCTCATCCACGTCTACATAATGCTACTCTCGGTGTCATCTCGTTGTCATCTTGGTGTCATTTTGGTGTCATCTCGGTGTCATGTTGGTGTCAACCAGAACGTTCGTGCTGCCTCGCCACATCTGCATCCGCCCAGCCTTCAACATCGACGCTGCCAGGATGTGAGCGCCTCCTTGCTTCCTGCACCGCATTCCACCCCTTTGATTTCCTGTCATGCGTGTTTCCCTCCACCGACACACACCATATCCGTGCCTCTTCCACAGTTTCATGTTTCTCCCATCCTCGCGTTCTGTCTCAGCCCCCCTCCACCCTTTCCCAGCCTCCCCTCCTCCCCTCCCTCCTCCCCCTCGCCCCCCTCTCCCTGCCGTCTGCTCTCCTCCCCTCCCTTCCCCACCTCTTCCTCTCTTTTGATAAGCCGATTCTTATGCGCTTCATCTCCTCTTCCCCTCCTCCCCCCCCCTCTTTTGATAAGCCAAGTCTCATGTGCTTCATCTCCCCTGTCCCTTCGTTCAGCAAGCCTTCGCCTCGCCTCAGCCTTCCCATCGTCCTTCAACCAGCAATCGCCCTCAACCTTTGATTCCCCATACCCATACCCATACCCATACCCATACCCATACCCATACCCATACCCATGCCCATACCCATGCCCATACCCATGCCCATACCCACACCCATGCCCATACCCATGCCCATTCCCATACCCATACCCATACCCATGCCCATACCCATGCCCATACCCATACCCATGCCCATACCCATGCCCATACCCATGCCCATACCCATGCCCATACCCATGCCCATACCCATACCCATACCCATACCCATGCCCATACCCATACCCATACCCATACTCACACCCATGCCCATACCCATACCCATACCGATACCGATACCGATACCCACACCGATACCCATACCCACACCCGTTCCCATATCCGTACCCATTTCCATACCCATACCCATACCCATACCCATACCCATGCACAGCACACACGAAGTGCCCCGATTCCCCTTACCCCCACTCTCTGCATCACTCCATCAGAGTGAACACATCCCAAACGGAGATGCTTTTAGAGGATCTCTTCGACCTTAAAGCCATCATCAAGGCTTTGCCCAAGGGTATCGTCTTTGCTGACTCGGACGACTGGAAACAGACGCTCGCCGCCGCCCAAGACGCGCAGACCCTGGCGGACGCTCGGAAGAAGAATCCTCCTAAGAAGGAAGGAGAGGAGGGAGGGGGAGGGGGAGAGGAGGAGGAGGAGGACGAGACCCCGGCACAGTATTTGGTGGTGGAGGATGGGAGTGTGAGTTGGAGGGAGCTTCGGGACGTGCCTGATTATGCCGAGGCTAAGATTGTGCATCGGAAGGATGACCGGCCCTGGTGAGTGGGGGGTTAGGTTAGGTGGTTAAAGGTTTAGGAGATGTGAACAGGAATGCAGAGGTGGTTGGGATGGGGGGTTGGGGGGGATATGGGGTGTTGGGTGGACTGGGGGATGGGGATGGTTGAAGCAGTGAGGGTTAAGGAAGGAGAGAGAATGGTTAATAGAGGGATGGTGGGGAGGAAATTGCTTCACTTGGAACATACAGCTTCTTGCCTCTCTGTTCTCCCTCTACCTCCTCCCACCCCCCCTCCTCCTTTCCATCCGCTCTCCCCCCCCCCACACACACATACACTCACACACACCCACAGTCACACACACACACACTCCCATACACTCACACACACCCACATTCACACACACTCTGACACTCACTCACTCACTCAGCGACAGTGTGAGATGCGGTTCAACGGCAGTGATCTACCACGGCCCGCCCTTTGCCAAATACATCCAGCAGCTCACCTCGCTCTCTTCTCTCTCGTCCCCTCTCCCTTCCCCCCCCCCCCCCCCCCACACACACACACACTCACACAATCTCACACTCACTCGTTCGCGGTGGCAGGAGGAGGGTGTGTGCGACGCGGTTCAACGGCACAGCAGTGATCTACCACGGCCCGCCCTTTGCCAAATACATCCGTGACCTTGCCATGCAGGTGGGCTATGGCGACCTTGCCATGCAGGTGGGTTATGGCGACCTTGCCATGCAGGTGGGCTATGGCGACCTTGCCATGCAGGTGGGTTATGGCGACCTTGCCATGCAGGTGGGTTATGGCGACCTTGCCATGCAGGTGAGTGGGTGGTGAGGTGAGACCTCGCTTTGAAAGTGAGCTGAGATGTGGGCTGTGAGCTGAGATGTGGGCTGTGAGCTGAGATGAGTTGTGGGTGTGGAGCACGCCAGGAAGGGGGACTCCCCTTCCCTATTCAACTGGTGGGTGGGTGGTGAGACCTTGCCATGATGGTGGGTGAGGTGATGCACATGCACCGCCATGACAACGTTTTGAGACATCTGGAATTCTTGAGACGAGTCCCAACACAGACATCATACATGTATCTCCTCCCCTCTCCTCCCCCCCACCAGCTATCGAAGAAGCTAGGCCATTTTGTTTTCCTTTACGTGCGTCGGCACAACACAGACATCATAAGGGACAATGCCTCCTACCTGCTGTGCTGCACCTGCACTCATCCAGCCACGTTGCACCCACAACACAACCCAGGCCTCCACACCTTCTCCCTGCCTACCTCCCCACTGCAGTTGTCTGAGAAGCTGGATCACTTAGTCTTTCTGCACGTGCCCAGCCACAACACTGACATCATGCAGGGCAATGCGTCGTACCTGGGCCGCCGGCACCTCGACCACGACACGCGTGTGCCGGCACCTCGACCATGACACGCGTGTGCCGGCACCTCGACCACGACACGCGTGTGCCGGCCATCCGAAAGCCACATCACGCGTGACCCCAGCATTTCCCTTTCTCCCGTCAACTTCCCCAACCCCACCTCCCCATTCCCTCCCTCCCCTTCCCCGCCCTTGTGTTGCTGCTCGCTTCTCCTCCCAATGCAGTTGTCTGAGAAGCTAGGCCATTTTGTCTTCCTGCATGTGCGCCGCCACAACACAGACATCATGAGGGACGATGCGTCGTACCTGCGCTGCCGGCACCTCGACCGCGACACTCGCGTGCCGGCCATCCGAAGGCACATCTGGCGGCTCATCCCCGAGAACAGCACCCTCTACATCGCCACGGATGAGGTCAACCCAGGGTTCTTCTCGGGCCTCAGGCAGTGGTGAGTTCTGCTGTCACATGTTTGTTTTGAGATGTCTTAGAGACCTGACGTGTAGGGGTATGCGTTTTTTGTAAGACGTGTCAGAAGTAGACGTCCGGGTACCTGCGCTGCCGGCACCTCGATCGCAACATGTGCGTGCCGGCCATCCGAAGGCACATCTGGCGGCTCATCCCCGATAACAGCACCCTCTACATCGCCACGGATGAGGTCAACCAAGGGTTTTTCTCGGGCCTCAGGCAGTGGTGAGTCTGCTTGGTTGGAGATTCCAGTGCTTCATGTTCAGGGGGAAGATGTGTTCAAAGCAGAACTCTCTACATCGCCACGGATGAGGCCAACCAGGGGTTCTTCTCGGGCCTGAAGCAGTGGTTAGTTTACTTGGGGTCCCTCGGGTTTGAGGTTCAAGAAGCAGCAATCGTGAAAGCAGCACTTATTATATTGCCACAGATGAAGTCAACCAGGGGTTCTTTTCGGGCCTCAGGCAGTGGTGAGTCTACCAGGGGGTCCCAGTGCTTGAGCTTCCAGAGGGAGAGATATTAAATACAGCACTCTTTACATCGCCACAGAAGAGGTCAACCAAGGGCTTTTCCCGAGATGTCTTGAAAACAGCACTCTCTACATCGCTACAGATGAAGTCAACCAGGGGTTCTTCTCGGGTCTCAGGCAGTGGTGAGTTTACTTGGGGGGGTTGCTAGTTCTTGAGCTGTTGTCGGAGCGTGTTTACCCAACTCTTCGGGCATTGAGCAATGGTGTCTACTTGGGAATCTTGGTGCTTGATCTCGAATGGGAATGAGTTTGGGCCTTATGTTCTTGGGTTATGCAGGCCATGCTAAGGAACAAAGGCATTTCTTTCGGGGCTTCTAAAAGTAACCCGCAACTAAAATCCCAAACCCTGTCTTGTGTCCCAACCGTGTACCAGGTATGACATTCGCCTTGCTCGGAGCTTTGACCACATCCTCAAAGGCAAGGTCACCAACAATTATCAGGTCTTTGCAATCGAGAAGCACCTCTCCAAGTTTGCGTCGTTCTTTGTAGCCACGTTCTGTGATGAGGCCGACTCCTATGGTTGGCTTGGCCTCCATGCTTTCTACTGCCTATGCCAAGACTACCAAGAAGGTAGACGTGCGCAAACAATCAAGGACACGTCAGCTGGGTGATGGAACTATCTAGAATCCAACTAAACTAGAATGGTGTGCACATTTTCTTATCTGCCTGAGTTATGGAATTGTAAGCTGTACAATTAATACAGAAGTACAGGTTCAGAACTAGTGTAAGGAAAATTCCTTTTCCTTTGCGTCCCCGCTCAGCGCGTACACCACTATAGCACCTCAGTCAGTACCACTCGCAACCCTCGCATCGACAATCCTCCCGCCACCTTCGCACGTCGCACCCCGACCTCACGGCTCGGCGGGTAACCCGCGCTCCGGGCCTCCGCTTCGACAATTCCCCAAACCTCAGTCCCAGGCCCGTCGCGCGACAACCACAGTTCATTACCGTTACCACTGTAGTTTAGCTATATATTCTTCGCTCATGCCTTCGCTCATTGTACTTTTTTGCTTCGTTAGTGCAATTCTCGCTCACTCAATTGCACTCGTAACAACTGCCCAGGTTCACTGTTTCTGGCATTTCAGCAGGATAAGGTCAAACAGTGAGTTGAGAGTGGTGGTTGGTGCGCAAGTGGGGCAAGCATCTGTCTGAAGTTGGGTGAAAGCCCACCAGCGGGCTTGGGAAATATTCGCCTAGTTGGCACATGCGAATTCGTCTATCTGCGGCCACGTCATCAACACATTGGATCCCATTCATTTGGCCAAAGGGCGCCGCCTTCGACGTTCGCGTCCCTTCGCATCAATCAGCAGCCACTAAGCATTGATTGGCTAACATGGGTTTTCAGCTCCTTCAGGCTCGGCATCGAACGCGAGCCCAGGCAAGGCGAGGCGAGACAAGGGTGCACGAGCCTGATGCTGGGGTGGACGAAAACGAATCTTCAGGTGTGGTAGTCGCAGGGCATAAATTCCAGGCTAACAACCTCACTCTCGTCGCACAAAACCGCACGAGCGTCGTTAGGAACGCCATCCCTGAATCTCCTCACCGTACGTACCTTCCATCCGACTACCGTCCGGTAATCGGAATCTCGTCGACGCTGGGTGAACTCCCCCAAATCATCAGCCAGCTCTGTTCCATCCCTACGTGGGCTGCCTTCGCTAACCTTCCCAAACTCAAATTCCTCGAGTCTTCCATTCCATGGCTCTTTCCTCTTCTTTTCTCTTCTGAAGCTGCTGATTCCAGCACAGCACAGCACGGCAGCAAGCTAGTCCTTGTCAGGTAGACCAAACCACGTAAAGCACCCGTGGCTCCACCACGACGCAACTGTCCCAGACTGTACTGGTTGAAGTCCTGTCTGCTAAGTGCTGCCTTGCAATCCCGAACTGATACACTGTAAAATGGCGGGAACGGTTCAAGGTGCTGCCGTATTCAGTGCAACATCCAGCCTTCCCTCACACCTGCACCGCTCGTCCTCTCGCAAAGCGAATGGTTTACCAAAAACATTTCAAACTCCAGACTTCCCTCGGCTGATCAAGCTCTCACAGAAACATTACCATCGACAGCAGCAGCACCGATCATCGATCTCCTGCCGAACCACCGTTTCGCAGGACCCGGCTACCCTCTCCTCAACACGGGACTCCGTCAACGGTAACGTTAACGTCAATGCGGAAATTGCCGCCGTCCCATCGTCTCCCCTCAGCTATGACTCTCCGCCTAACGGCTCGTCCTCGGAATTCCCGCAACCCGTGTCCGGTTTGTCGTTTTCCGAGCGCAAATTCGGACCGTTGGCGGAGGTCCCCCCGGAGGAGTATGATCTAGGGGTGGCGGAGCGCGCGGTGCAGCTGTCGTGCCGACTGACGCAGCGCGTGCAGGACCAGCTGCGACGCGCGGAAGACGTCGCGCGGTCGAAGAAGGACAAGTCGTTCGTCACCGTCGCAGGTGCGTGCGACGACAGGCGAGTGGCCAGTTTTTAGCAGTAAAAATAAACGTGTCAGTCTTCCATTATGCCGGGTGCTGAGTGCACGAGTGGTGAGTGCGCGAGTGGTGAGTGCGCGAGTGGTGAGTGCGCGAGTGGTGAGTGCGCGAGCTGGGAAGTGCGCGAGTGTGAGTGTGAGTTCAAGAACAGCGTGTCAGTCTCCAATATGCCTTGTTCTGTCGAGATCTTCTGGTGAGAACAACGAAACGAACTCATAGGGCAGGGCTATTGCAGAAACGTTTGGCGAGTGTCGGTGTCAAGGTCTCCGTTACAGTCACTGTTAGTCCCCGTTACAGTCACTGTCAAGTCACTGTCAATCTCCGTTACAGTTATTGTCAGTCTCCGGTACAGTAACTGTCACTGTATCCGTCATTGCCACACACAAAAACTAGTTGCGATGCGACGGATAGTCAGTAACCCTGTCAACGCCTTTCGTCCACTTCAATCCCCTGCCTCCAGTCCAATCTCAATAGTGACATTATTGCACTCTCTATCCCCTGCCTCCACTCCACTCCACTCCCAAATCTCCGAGTGTTTATTAAGTTGTCATTCTCGCTTTCCTCCTCGCCTCCGCCCACTCCCGTCCTCTAGGCCCCTGGCTCCTTCTCAACCCTCCCAGTGTTACAACGGTACCATGTCTCATCTCACCCCTCTTGTTCCACTCTCCACACCCCCACTACCCCCTTTCCACCCTTTCCCTCGTCCGTCCAGACTGGGGAGTGCAGGCGGTGGTGAGCTGGGTGCTCAAGCAGGCCTACCCCGACGAGCCCATCTCAATGGTGGCAGAGGAAGACACCAAGGAGCTCACCGGCCAAGCCGGCGTCGCCGTCCTGCAGCGCCTCGTGCAAACCGTCAACGAGTGCCTCGCTGAGGCCGCCCTTGTCGGCATCCCCCCGCCGCAAGCGCCGCTCACGGCGGTGCAGGTGCTGCAGGCGATCAGCCGCGGAGGGTCGGAGGGCGGCGCGGAGGGGCGGCACTGGGTGTTAGATCCCGTCGACGGGACATTAGGGTTCGTGCGGGATGACCAATACGCAGTCGCGCTCGCGTTGCTGCAGGATGGGCAGCTGAAAGTCGGCGCGCTGGGCTGCCCGAATTTCCCGGTCAGGTCGGGGTGGCTCCGGCACCCGCACCGGTTCCACCGGCTGACCGCGAAATACTTTCCGCCGACCAAGTGGCATAAGGGGTTCGTGCTGAAGGCGAAGAGAGGAGGGGGCACGTGGATGGAGTCGCTGGTGGAGATTGGGAGGGATGGAGGGGCGTTGAGAGCGGTTCCGATGCCGGTTAGGGTTTCGCCGGTGCAAGATGCTGCTCTGGCGACGTTCTGCGAGCCCGTGGAGAAGGCGAACTCGAACCAATCGTTCACTGCTGAGCTGGCAGACACGCTCGGCATCAGGTGAGGCTCGAGATGTGGGGGGTTGGGAGGGTGGGGATGGGAGGCGAGTGAGGGGGGTCGAGGGGAGGGGGCGGAGGAGGGGGGTGGAGGGATGGTGCGTCCTGTCCAGTTGTAGTCAAGGTCAATGGCGAAAAGGAGAAGGGCGAGTGTGCTCGAAGTTCTCGGGCAAACATGAGATACATGCATACTGTTTTTGTGTGGATGCCTTAGATTTCCTATGGGAGTAGAAAAGAAGCAGAAACAAAATAGCAATCTACCCTGTTCCCTGTTCCCCTCCCTTTCGCCCCGCTTCCTAGGTATCCAATTCTTGTTTCCCCTCTTTCCCCCCTCATCCCTTCTTCAACCTTTCCCCTGTCTCCAACTCCCTGCATGCCTCAACCACTCCTGTGCAGGCAGCAAGGGGCCTCTCCGCCAATCAGGATGGCTTAGTATGCCACCACTGCACAGGGCGACGCAGGAATCCTTACGGAGCAAAACCACAACCCCCTTCTTTCTCCCTCCTTCCTTTCCCTTTTTCCTCTCCTGTTGCTGACTCCCCACACCTCCTGACCAGCAAGGGGCCTCTCTGGGTGTACAGTATGCCGCCATAGCGCAGGGCAATGCTGACATCTTAATGAAGCAAAAGAAGTGCAATTTCACCAGTTCTCTGCCTCCATTTCTCCCCCTCCCTTTTTCCCCAACTGGGCAGCACGGAGCCTCTGCGCGTCTACAGCATGGCCAAGTATGCCGCCATTGCACGCGGTGACGCTGAGATCTTCATGAAGTTTGCGCATGGCAGCTACAAGGAGAAGATCTGGGACCATGCAGCAGGCGTGATAATAGTAGAGGAGGCGGGTGGTGTGGTGACCGATGCGGGCGGCAACCCCTTGGATTTCAGCAAGGGGAGGTTTCTCCTGGGGTTGGACAGAGGGATCATGGCGACCAATGGCCCGGATATGCACGAGCAACTGTTGAACACTGTAGATGCCAGCTGGAGTGCTTCTCGGCTGTAACACACAAGGCATGATGTTGCAGAGTTTGGCCTACTAGCTGGCCTTCTACTGTGTGGCCTGGTCTTTGGTGAGTGATTTTTGTTACCAAGCCTTGTTGGGTTAGCTGAAGGTGGAGAACTGTGCTCAACAAGCTGCTTGTTTTCAGCAAGAACAACTGAACTGTAAAACCATCTTTATATAGTTCTGGCACCTCTGACGGGAAAATGCTGGAGCATTGTAATTGTAAGGGATATGTTCGTAGTACGTGCAGAGGTGAAATTACCCTGGTTCTGCTGTTTTAGCGTTTATCTTGGTGCTGTTCGTCAGGAAATCGTAATTTGAAATGAAAAAGATGGCATCGGCATCGCGACCGCATCGGGAAACGGAGGCGGAACCCACCTCCGAGGTTTGGCCGTAATGCCGTTGAAGAAACTTCTGCGCCTGCGGTTGCGAAATTTCGCAACCGCGTGGGGAGCCTCCGTCCCCACCTTCCCCCCAATCCCCTTTGAACGGCAATGCGACGGCTGTGGTATCGCTGTGCTTCGAAAAACGAAGCGGCCCTGCTCGACAGGCTAACACCGACGGCTGCGGAATCATTGCGGCTGTTTCGTTTTCACATTTTTCATCACGGTCAGCCCGTGAAATGTGTTACGAATAGTAATACTTGAATATTACTGTGCACTCCTCACCGCAGCAAAGAGAAGCACGTAGTATCGCGAATGAACGCGAAGCGTCAGACGGTTGGAATCGACTCGAAGCGTCTGACAGTTGGGACGCATCTGGACCGTCGGAGCAGACAGCATCAGGCAGCTGCAGCCAGGATGGTTTCGGCGGGAACAGTTTCGTAACTGTTCGAGCCGCACGGTTGGGAATGTATTTGAATAAGGGAATGTACCCCTTAGAGTACATGGCTAGCTAGGTCGTTTCATCTCCCCTGTACTCATATTTATATTTGCTGTATTTGCATGTTTTAAATCATTGTGGAGAGGAGAACGCGAATGAATGAACTATGAATGAAGTGAGTACATATAGGAAACCCTAATTGGGTTGTACCCCCTATGGGATACCCCACTATAGCCTACACAACAGCATGAGCTATATATATGTTCTGACACACCCCCATAGGCAAAGTGGGGGAGAACAAGGGGTCACAAGACCAGTCACGCAAAGCACAGCAAGCTCAGGGTGGATCACAAAGTCACCACACAGTCCGAGCACAACGACAAGGCCACAAGGCCAGTTCACATGCAGGAGTGCACATATATATATAGATCTAGACAAGCAAGAGCAGGTATATATATGTGACAGTACAAGCAAGGTCAAGAGGAGAGCAAGTGAGGCAAGACAGGTACAAGACCCAGCTGAGTGCAGAAGCGCTGATGGTCACAAGGCGCAAGTGCCTTGGTGAACACATCAGCAGTGTTGGCCTCAGAGGCCACGTACGCAAGTCGCAACTGACCACGCTGCTGCAGCTCACGAGCAAGAAAGTAACGGAGAGCAATGTGCTTCGTTCTGTGCTCCAAGCGCTGCTCTCGACACAAGGCCAGCATGGCCTTGTTGTCTACGTACAGCACTGGAGGAGAACGAGGCGGCTCTCCAAGGTCAGTCAGCAGGTAGGTGAGCCAGCGAAGCTCCTGTGCAGCCATGGCCCCGGCGTAGATCTCAGCCTCACAACTGGAGCCGAGAACAGAGGACGAGCGAGTAGCCCGCCACGAGACAGAGCCGGAACCAAGACTGAAGGTGTAACCCTGCGACGACCGCTGCGTAGCCTGGTCGTCAGCCCAAGAAGCGTCCGCGTGCCCAGTGAGGACCACTGGACTCCGCCCTCCAAGCACTAGCCCCATGCCCGACGTACTGCACAAGTAGCGCAACACCCTCTTCGCTGCAGCCATGTGCTCTGGTCGGTGTCTCCCAGGAGCAACATAGCGTGCAAGAATGCTAAGAGGGTATGCAAGGTCAGGTCGTGTGCAGGTCATCAGGTACATGAGGCAGCCAACAAGCTCTGGGTACGAGCCACTCGACTCTACGGACTCATCCGAAGGCAGAGCTGAGAGCGAGTGGCGAGTAGACAGAGGAGTGGCCTGAGGCGAGGAGTACGTGAAGCCGAAGCGCTGAAGGACCTGCTGCACCATGTGTGACTGAGTCAAGGTAATGGTGCGGCGTGCTCTGTCCCGAGTGATCTGCAAGCCAAGGTAGCTGCGCAGTTCACCCAGGTCTGTGCACGTGTGTCTCTTCTGCAGCTCGGACTTCACGTAGGCTAGTCCAGCAGTGTCAGCTGTGGCAAAGACCAAGTCGTCGACGTACACGAGGATGTAGAACGGCGGCAAAGAAGTGTCGGTGCGCAGAAACAACGACGGGTCAGCAGTAGAGGGAGCAAACCCAAGAGCCGCAAGCGTAGTCCTCAGTGTGTCGTGCCACTCACGCGGTGCCTGGCGGAGACCGTAGACTGGCCGTCGGAGGCTCCACTGGGTGCCAGGAGGGAAAGTCCCAGTGAAGCCAGGTGGACGGCGCAGCCAGATCTCCTCGTGCAGGCTACCCTGCAAGAAAGCAGTGCTGAAGTCAAGAGAGTGGAGCTCGTAGTCGCGCTGAGCGGCTATGTGCAGCAGCACCCGAAGAGTGGTCATCTTCGGGGTGGGAGAGAAGGTCTGAAAGTAGTCAACTCCCTGCCGCTGACTGAATCCACGAGCGACGTACCGCGCCTTGAAGACAGGTGGAGAGCCCGGCGGCCGCTTCACCCTGAAGATCCACATGCCACTGACGATGTTCGCCCCAGGAGGGGGAACCGCGTCAACGTAGGTGCCTGTGGACTTCCAGGACGCCATCTCTGCATCCATAGCTGCCTGCCACTGAGAGGAGTAGGGACCCTCTACGGCCTCCGCGTAAGAGCGCGGAGTCGGGATGTCTAGTGCATCCGGGTCTCCCTCAGGGGCAAGTAGTACGGACGCGAGATGAGGTGAAGCAGCAGCCAGACACTGGAACTCCTCCTGCCTGTCCTCAAGGACGTCCGTGCCAAGAGCACACTCACCCCCGACGGACGGAGGACAGACAGACGCAGACTCAGCAACAAGACCGGCAGCGTAGTCTAGACGACAGCGAGCAGCAAAGTCGACGAGCTCAGCAACAAGAGCAGACGTAGCAGTGGACTCAAAAGAGGGGTCAGTGACGACAGTAGCAAGGAGACGTGTGACTGTAGGACTGGTAGCACGAAGAGAGTCGGACTCTGGGTCGGTAAGTGCAGGAAGAGAGGACTCAGGAGGAGAAGGCAAAGGGGCACGCAGAGGAGCAGTGGACGGACGCAAAGACATCCGGTGCGTGCCAGGGACAGGAGGAGGACGCTGACGCGAACCGCGACCACTAGCGCGAGCAGCACGAACAGGCGACGCAGGACGAGACGCAGGCTCACGACGCTCAGCAAGACCTCCAGTGGGACCAGTGTAAGGAGAGGGAGCAGGAAGTGGGGAGGCGGGCTCTAACTGGGACTGTGACTGAACAGGCGGTGGACACGCTGCAGGAGGAGAAAGACCAAGAACCTGCTGTAGGAGTGGAACGAAGTACGGCCGAGGCCGCGCGGCGACTCCAGACACAGCAGGGACAGCACCCTCAGCAGCAGCACCAGCGCCAACAGCACCTCCAGCGGCAGGACCTCCAGCAGCACCAGCAGCACCCGCAGCAGGACCACCGCTAGGAAGGACAGCAGCAGTCTCAGCACCAACACCCGCAGCAGCTCCAGCTCCAGGCGGACCCGAAGGCCCAGCAGCTCCGGGACCAGTGGCACAAGTACCCTCAGCAGCCGAAGGAGCTCCAGCTCCAGCAGTACGTCTCCAGCGGCGAGCAAACCACTCGCGCAGCTCCTGTGGAGAGAGGGGCTCCCGCCGAGGCGAAGCACCCGGAGAACCGCCAGGTCCCGCACCGCCAGACACCACAAGGGGAGGTCCAGTGGCCGTAGGCTCCGCAGCTCCAGGCTCAGCAGCTCCAGACGCAGCACCCCCTGGCTCAGCACCCCCAGTCGCAGCACCCCCAGGCTCAGCACCCCCAGACTCCGCACCCCCAGGCTCAGCACCCCCAGTCGCAGTACCCCCAGGCTCAGCACCCCCAGACTCAGCACCCCCAGGCTCAGCACCCCCAGGCTCAGCACCCACGCGCGTAGCACCCCCAGAGTCAGCACCCCCAGGCTCAGCACCCGCAGCAGGACCAGAGTCACCAGCAACCTCGACCGGCTCGACTGCGTCTACCTGGGACACACCTGAAGGGGCAGGACCCTGAGGGGGAAGGGGGTCTACCGGGGGGGGACCTGGCACAAGGAAGTGCGGTGGCGGGGGGAGGGAAGGAGTGCGGTAGGGGAAGAGGCGGTAGAAGGGGACTGACTCGTCGAACGTGACGTCCTGGGAGGACAGAACACGACGAGAGGAGGGGTGGTAGAACTGCCACCCTGGGGCGTCAGGGGGGAAGCCGAGGAAGACACAGGGAGCAGCACGAGGGGACAGCTTGTCCGCAGACAAGTCGCGGACAAACGCCCGAGATCCCCAGACACGGAACGCAGACGCATCGCCGACCTTCCCCGTCCACAGCAGAGCTGGGGAGGTCTCCGGCCGGGAGACCCTGGGGTGAAGGTTGATCTGTTGCGCCGCGTACCGAACCGCAAACGGCCACAGAAAATGGGGGGCAGCCGCATGCATCATGGACGTACGAGCGACGTCCATGACCATGCCAATGCGGCGCTCAGCAATCCCATTTTGCTGTGGAGAGTCCGGAAGCGTAAAGGTCTGGCGGATGCCTCGTGCACGACAGTAGGCTCGCAGAAGGCCAGAGGAGAACTCTCCACCTCGGTCAGAGTGCAGACGCAGAACAGGAAAGTCCGAGCCGAAGCTCCTCCTGAGCTGGAGACGAGCTGCGCGGATCCAGTCGATCAACACCTCAGTGACATCACCCTTGCTGCGCAAGGGGAAGACTGTGGTGTAACGCGAGTAGTCGTCAACCACCAGCAGGAAGTAGCGCTCGTGACCCTGCCCACGGACGCGGGC